AGTAGTAGTAGTAGTAGTACGCGCCCCCCCCCTACCAACTACACTTGCTCAAAACCATCTTAAGAACACATCTGTTTTGCTCGGTATTTACAGCGCTTTCGTCATGTACGATCATCATAAGAAGCCTCAACATCGACTTGCCGAGTTTGCAAACTCGGCCTCTTGATTTTGGACTTGCTTCTGGGTGGGGGGGGCCTGGGGGGGTGGGGGGGGGGATGATGACGACAGTGTTACGCAAACACAACCAACAATATCACCACAAGAGCCGTTTTACTCAAAATTTACAGTACTTTCGTGATGTCGTACTTCCATACATAGTTGCCACCCCTACTTCTGGACTGCGCGTCTTAAACTTTGAGTCTGGAACGGCGTGCCGCGAAAACTCGAAATTGGTTGGGGGAACCGTTTTCCTCAGTATTTACAGTACTTGTGACTTGTGCACACGACCCCTTTTTTCTCGGTATTTGCAATACTTTTGGTAGCGTTGGTGATGAAAGGTGATGAAACGTGTTTGATTTCTCGTGTTGGTGATGACATGTGTTTGCTTTGTGGCGATGTTGGTAATGAAATGTGTTTGCTTTTTCGTGAGCACACAGCCCAGCTTTTACTCGGTATTTACAGTACGTTTGGTGAGGTTGGTGATGAAAGGTGATGAAATGTGTGTGCTTTTTGGTGATGTTGGTAATGAAATGTGTTTGCTTTTCGTGATGTTGTTGATGACCATGACGACGCGTAGTTGGTAGGGGGGGTGGCTAGTAGTAGTAGTAGTAGTAGTAGTAGTAGTAGTAGTATCAGCAGCAGCCGGTGCATCCGAAATCCTACTACTAACCCCAAACCCTAAACCCTAAACTCTTAACACCTAAACCCTAAACCCTAAACCCTAAACCCTAAACCCTAAACCCTTAACCCTAAACCCTAAACTCTTAACACCTAAACCCTAAACCCTTTACCGATACCCCCGGCCTTCTCCGTCTCGGGCTGCCTGCAGGCAGGTGACCCGGTGCATGCGGAACCGGGCTTGACAGCCTAAACTGGGAGCCTAGATAGTTTAGGGCTTTGGGTTTAGGGGTTTAGGGCTTAGGGCTTAGGGTTTAGGGTTTAGGGTCTAGGGTTTAGGGTTTAGGGTCTAGGGTTTAGGGTTTAGGGTTTAAGGTCCAGGGGGTTGAGGGTTTAGGGCTTTGGGTTTAGGGTTTAGGGTTGGAACCCTAAATGCCTATATGGCCGTCGTAGACCGCTCTGAAGATTTAGAGACGACACTCTTTGCTAACTCCCAGATATGTCTCCAGATGCTTGAAAAACCCTGCAGAACATTTTACAACCAGACCGGGAACCCAAACCCTAAACCCTAAACCCTAAACCCTAAACCCCTGTAAAGGCCCAAGGAACTCTGCAAGTCAGATTACTAAAAAAGGGTTTAGGGTGTTGTGTTTTGGGTCTAGGGTTAAGTCTGATTACAAATAAGGGTTTAGGGTTTAGTGTTTAGGGTTTAGGGCTAAGTCAGGTTATAAATCAGGTTTTTTGTTTTCAGGAAAACTCCCTACTTGGAAACACCCTGAAGAAGCCTCAAGACTTCGAACAGGGCTCTGAGATGAAGTATACTAATATAGGGGCCTGAATAATTAATTAGAACAGGGTTGTCGGGCCCATTATACCATAAATATAGTAAGGAACCCCAAAAGAGTATTGGTCATTATTTTAGGCCCCTACATTCTACTGCGCACGTTCTCTGGCTAGTCGGAGTTTCGTGCCTCCGCGGAAGCTGACGCCGCCGCCTCACGTGCATTTTAGGGTTTAGGGTTTTGGAGTTTAGGGTTTAGGGTTTAGGGTTCTCATTGGGTTGTACAGAGGCCTGAAGAATGAGAAAAGGGCTTCGGAAGGGGGAGGATAAGATTGTTCCGGGGGGGGGCAAAAATCTAATCAGAGCCACGGTTCAGGATCTAGGATTCAGGGTGGTAGTCTTTCTAAAGGGGGAAGGAGTATTTTGTAGTACCACCATATTGCGGTATACAAGGGGATACTATTTCGAACTAGTCCGACGCCGACAGCAGGGCTTTAAGGCCCATGGAGAATCTTGGCCCTTGGCACCCTCTATAAAACCCTAAACCCTAAACCCCGAACCCCTAAACCCCTAAACCCCTAAACCCTGAACCCTAAACCCCTAAACCCTAAACCCTAAACCCCGAACCCCTAAACGCTAAACCCCTAAACCCTAAAC